ACCTGAGGTTAAATTACTTAGCCCCAATGAGACTCAGTGACCTCATCTATGAAATGGGGGAAGGAGATAATTGTATCAGAAGATCCATCTGAGGTTTAAAGAACAACATACAAAGTTCCTAGCAGAGTATCTGTTATGTAACAACTGTATAAAAATGTTCATGTCTGCTTACTTTTCTTATAAAACAGAAAATGGAATCTTTATCTTTGCTTTGTAAATAGTATTTTAATTGTTTTATAATCCATATCTTAGGGATATATAGAGACACACAGACAGATATAGATGTACACATAGATACATGCACACATACACATCTCACTAGTCAACATTAACACAATGAGGCAGAGAACTCAGGATTGAACCCAAAAAATTAAGAAAATTATCTTATTTGTTTTGTTAGCCTATACCATAACTTAATACACAGCAAAACAAATGCCAATGACTGAAAAACTATCAGTTAACAAACAGCCAATGTAGGAACTTCCACATTAGTTTTTCAATGATTACATCTCTAATATCAATAAAAACTTTAAATGTTTTTGAAAATTTTGGATATAAAAGAGCAACACTCCAGACCAGGTTTCACATACTATTTTACTGCATATTATATGCAAGCATAGCTATTCTCAGGGACCTACCAAAATGTCTATTTGAGAAGTTTTTGCTATGAAAATTCCAAGTCTTTATTTCATAACATTACAATGAGCTTAAGATATAAAAGGGCATATTTGTATACCACTGGCATTTTGATAAATATTCAGATTAAATTAAGAAGAACATAAGCAAATTAACTGACCTCCAAAACAAATTTGAAAGAAATCTGCTAGTAGGAATATCAAATAGCATTTGACAATTTAAAATGCTACTAAAAAGTGTTACAGACTCAGTCCACCAGGGGGAAGTGTTGTCTAACTATTATTTAATAACAGACCTGAACTCAACAGGAATAAAACTGTACATTCTAAAAGGATGGTAACTAGCAACACGAAAACATAAAAGTATAAAACTCGCTCTACAGGTAAAAAAAAATACATAAATCCAGAAAATTCTAATACTGTAATGGTGGTACATAAATTACTTTTAACTTTAGAATGAAAGTTAAAAGACAAAAGGACTATAAATAACCATTGCTCTAATAATTTATCAACGGATACATGACCATATAAAAAAATGTAAACTATGACATCAATAACATGTGGAAGGAGGAAAAGTTGTTATCAGCTTAAACTAGCCTATTACAACTAAGAGCTGTTTTATGTAAGCCTCATAGTAACCATAAATAAAAAGCCTGGAATACTATACTGTTGGTGGGACTGCAAACTAGTTCAACCTCTGTGGAAAGCAATATGGAGATACCTTAAAGCGATACAAGTGGATCTACCATTTGATCCAGCAATCCCATTACTGGGCATCTACCCAAAAGACCCAATGACACTCTACAAAAAGACACCTGCACTCGAATGTTTATAGCAGCACAATTCATAATTCCAAGGCTGTGGAAACAGCCCAAATGTCCATCAAGGCAAGAGTGGATTAATAAAATGTGGTATATGTATACCATGGAGTACTATGCAGCTCTAAGAAACAACGGTGATATAGCACACTGTATTTTCCTGGTTAGAGCTGGAACCCATACTACTAAGTGAAGTATCCCAAGAATGGAAGAACAAGCACCACATGAACTCACCAGCAAACTGGTATTAACTGAGCAGCACCTAAGTGGACACATAGGAACTACAGTAATAGGGTATTGGGCAGGAGGGAGGGGTGAGGGGCCGGGTGTATACATACATAATGAGTGAGATGTGCACCATCTGGGGGATAGTCACGCTGGAAACTCAGTCTTATGGGGGAAGGGGGGGAAAGGGCATATTTTGAAACCTTAAAATTTGTATCCCCATAATATGCCAGAAAGAAAAAAAAAGCCTGGAGTAGATACTCAAAGAGAAAAGAATCAAAACACACACTACAAAAAATGAGCAAATCACAAAGGAAGACAACAGATGAAGAATGTAACAAAGAAACTTTAAGAAGTCAGAAACAATAAAAAAAATTGACAATAGTAAGTCCTTATCAATAATTACTTTAAATTGAAACGGATCAAATTCTCTAATAAAAAGACAGAGTGGTAAATGGATTAAGAAAGCAAAATCCGAGGATATGCTACCTACAAGAGAATATCTTTAGCTTTAAGGACACACATACACTGAAAGTGAAGTGACAAAAAAGATATTCCATGCAAATGAAACCAAAAGAGAGTGGGGTAACTATATCCGACAAAATACACTTTAAGTCAAATACTATAAAAAGAAACAAAGAAGGTCATTACATAATGAGAAAAGGTCAATTCATCAAGAGGATATAACAGTTTTAAGTATATATGCACCCAATACTGAAGTACCTGATTATATAAAGCAAATATTAACAGAGCAAACAATGGACTTGAACTACACTACAGACCAAATGGATCTAATACATATACATTCAACAACTGCAGAATACACATTCTTTTCAAATACACATGGAACATTCTCCAAGACAGATCATAGGTTATGCCACAAAATAAGTGTTAACAAATTTAAGGAAATTAAAACCAAATCAAGTATCTTTTCTGACCACAATGGTATAAAACTAGAAATCAAAAACAGTAGGAATTTCAGAATAATCACAAATACATGTTAATTAAAAACATGCTCCTGAACAGCCAATGAAGAAGAAATTAAAAGAGAAATTTAAAATATTCTTGAGATAAACAAAAATGGACATATAACACAACAAAAGTTATGGAATGCAGCAAAAACAGCTCTAAAAGGAAAATCTACAGCAATAAATGCCTGTGTCAAAAAAGAAGAAAGGCCTCAAATAAACAACTTGTAGTTACATCTCCAGATACTTAAATAAGAGCAAACTAAACCTAAAGTCAACAGAAGGAAGGAAATAATAAAGACCAGAGACAAAATATATGAAATAGAGACTACAAAAACAATAAAACTAACATGTTTTTTGTGAAGATAAACAATATTGACAAACCTTTAGCTAGACCAAGAAAAAAGGAGAACAGCCTCAAATAAATGAAAGAGAAGACATTAAGATTGATACCACAGAAATACAAAGGAATATAAGACATAATATAAGGAATATAAGACATAATACTATGAATAATTATATACCAACAAATTGGCATACAGCAAGTCCTCACTTAACATTGTAGATAGGTTCTTGGAAACTGTGACTTTAAGCAAATGTATAGCAGGTCATTTTGTTCAATGTCATTTTATTATAAGGTTAACAAGGATGACATTAAATGTTGTATACATCATTTCACTTAAAGTCACAGTTTCCAAGAACCTATGGAGGATGTTAAATAAGGACCTACTGTATCCGTAAATCACAGCATGCCCCTGTCCCCTTCTGTGTCTCCTCTTCCTCCTTCTGGCTCTAAGGAATGTGGATAGAGCTCAAGCCACCACATTAGAAGGTGAAAGATAGCAGACCAAGTAGCCATGACAATCCAGCACTGTGGAACCAACATACAATCACTGAATCATCTATCTGAATTTCTTTCATGGAAGAGAAAACTTGTATTTAAACCCACTGCTGTGTGTGTATACCTGCCTAACAAGGTACCCACCCTGCCTTCAACCTCACTTCTCTTTAACTGCCATCCACCTCTGCACTGCTTCCGGACTGATTTCCTAAATCTCAAATGTGAAGAATCAATCCACTATTTTTTTTAAGGAATTTAAAAAAATATACACACGGCATGCCTTAGCGATGGCATGTGAGACCATTCATAATCCGGTCCCTGCCTACTCCTAGTCCTCACTCATTGCTCCCCTATTGACACCAGCTGCTTTAAATAAGCCATGGTTTGCACAGCACCATAGCTTTATACATGCTTCCGCCACTGTCAAAATCTCTTTCTCCCCAGCATACATTCCAACACATCTTCAAAAATTCTGCTCAGATAGTCACCTCTTCCAAGAAGCCTTCCCTCAAGTCTAACTAACCCGTCTCTTCAACAGACTCCCAAAGCCCCCATTCTTACTTCTACTGTAGCAGGTAACACACCATGTTAGAATCATCAAATTACTTGTCTGTTTCCCCAGCCAGACTGCAGGACTGTATGCGTCATCTTGCCATCTCTAGCCTAGCAACTGTAGGTATTCATTGCATGCTGAAAAAGTAAATACTTTCAGGAATGCCTTCATTTGTCTTGAAGGAAATTTTTGCCATCTGATATCTGACATAAATGAAAACCTAGGCCTCTTGATTCTCTGCCCAGGCCTGTTTCCAGGACATCAGCATTTCCCCAACTGTGTTCCAGTAACACCTGCTTAGGGAATGTTAATAATGTGAATAACTTGTGGGTTTCCAGCCATGCCACAGAGCTTTCAGTTCTACTAAGCTGCCAAACTCCCTGGACCCTCCAAAGTCTCCAAGCCCACCCCCTTGGGCTCCTTCTACCTGGAAGGCATTCCACCTCAGTCTGCCCCCTTCCCTGGTTCCCACCATTCATCCTTCAGACCCCAGTGCCAGTTCACACCTGGGAAGACCCCCTCACTCTCTCAATCCTTCCAACAATCCTCTAACATTTGGCTGAAGATTGACCTGAAACTCACTAGTCTCTACAATTTCCTTAATTTTCCTTTCTAAAGATAGAAGCTTTGTCACTCAGATTTTTTAACACTTGCCTCTTTCTTTATAATTTTCAAAGAATACCTAGAGTGGATCTCTAATGTATCTGGCAAATATGCTCAGTGCTTTAGGACATAATCCCTCAAGAGTTTAAATTCGTGTAAAAGGAGCCAGGTGATCTTTTCTTGGGCTTCAGCCTCTTCTAGCAGTGTTTGTTCTACCCTTTCCATTGTGCTCCTTGATAGAGAAAACCCAGCCAAGCAGGAGTTTCATATCTCTGCTTTATCTCGGAAATCTCTTAGCATTACCTCACACGCCCTTAGAAAGGAGTCTAACCTTTCCTTGTTCTCTTTCTTTTTCAGACACCACAGAGTTATTACACCTAACCTCACTGCTCGAAGTGTCATCCAAGAACTACCTGGATTTGAATCACCTGGGGAGCTCATTAAAGTACTGGATTTGAGTCAAATACAATCAGAATTATTGCAGCGAGGTTCAAGAACCTGAATTTTTAACAAGCACTGAAAGCATCCAAGGTATCAATGGTCCTCTGCTTGCAAGGTAGGGCAGAGGAGGACTGGGGCAGCCAGAGTCCCCAGAAACTGCCCGTAGCTGTCTTCATTCACCTCAGTGCACAATACAAAGAGCATTATTTTCTGTGTGTGCTATGAAGTGAAAAAGGTTCACAGAGTTCCTAGAATTTCCTAGAGAACTTCTAAATTAGAATTTCCAGGGGAGGTTCACAATGATCATTTTCAAAACTTCCACAAGCCAATCTGATGTGTACTGCTGGTTAAGAACCACTGCTCTAAAATAGCAATTCTCAACTCTTTAAGAGCAAAAATATCTTTTTATAACAAATATTCTGCAATGCCTCCTTTATTATCCTAAAGTGAAATTCATAAACAATATAGCTTCCTAAATATAAAATTCAAAACAATCAACATAATGTTCTAAATGTAATATAAAGGAGCAATGAAATTAAAATGATTTTCATCATATAAATGCTCACATTAGTCAGACGCTTGCTTGTACCTAAAAGTGGAATCACTCTAGCACTCGGAAAGCAAGCCTCCTCCTGGGATGTGATGCTTTGAAATGGTGAATAGTTTTTAGTAAATTTCCAAAGAAAACAAAGTATAATCTTTTCTTGATTTACACGGTAGTTAAAGTCCTAGAAAACTTACTGATATTTAAAACCATATAAAAATATTTTGTTTATATATCCTAAGTCCAGATAATTGGAAACATTTTGCCCCTACCTAAATGTCCAACAGAACAAAGTCATGAACGAAGCATGTGGAACAATTCTTCCCCTGGGGAGTACTATCCATGCCCTACAAGGTGTCTAGCATGCCTGGCCCCTACCCATGAAAGGCCATTAGCCACCCATCCTCCCATCCCCAACCACTGTGACAAAAATAACTCCATGTATTTCCAAAACCACTGCTTTAAAACAACTATTCAACCTCCGCAAACAATAAGAATAGAGGCACTTGTGTGAGGATGCAATATTATTTTCCCTCATGCCACTACCTTGAAGAATCTCTGCATGACTCTTCCAAACATCTAATAATATTTTCAAAAGCAAATGTCTACATAAATTCTACCATGACAGAAATTGCTGGTGAAATTCTATACGAATGGACAACTATCACAGATATAAGAAACTTTCTTCATAAATTCTTTAAGAAACTAATGCAAACTACCTTTTTTTTACAATCAAATTGTGTTTCCCTATTGACATCATATTTTAATTTCAGAGATGTCCTATCACCATTGATATTCCACTGGCAGAGGCTCCTAAACAGTTCAGCTTTGAGTGTCAGTAAAATATATCAAACTATAGTTTAAATGTATTAAATGGTTCCACAATGGATCCTTTGAGTAGTAAAATGATTTATAAATGACTCAAGTAAATTACCTTTTAAAATACAGTGATTCCCAAGCCTGTGTGTGCATCACAATGATCACCTGGGGAGCCATTTAAAATTTAGAGATACATGAGTCAGTCCCTTGTCCACAGATTCTATAATAATTGCATAGGCCTGGAGTGAGTAGGCCACAAGAACCTTTATTCTTTATAGAAAGGTCAATAGGAGCTAGCAGGGGCAAATCCAGTTTTGTGTGTCCTGAAATCTACAAATTTGGAAGGAGCTCTCCTTAAGAGAAAGAAAGAAAAATTGTTGGGTCCCTCAGAGCCTTTGAAAAGTCTCATGCCTTGTCTTTATGGTAAATCCTTCTCTGGATGCTACCTGGAGTTGCAAAGTGTGACAGAATGAGAATCACAACTAGAAAACATGAGCAAAAATGTAAAGTCATACACTATGTGTGACTTCAAAGCAGAGACCGTAAACTACAGACTTCAGGAAGTAACATAAATGAGTAAGGCAGGCAAGGTATGAGACAACACAGGAAGGGGTGGTGACCAAGCACCTGTGTGATTAGACAGTTTCATTCAAGGACCAATGAAGGGAGAGTACTAAAATCATACTTTGTGAAGCAGTTCATACACCTGATAATAAAAAAAAAAGTTTGGTCAGGGATTCTTGCAACATCTCAAGGACCTAAGTTTACTCTAAAACATCCTTACTAGCACCCAAAGAGTTCTATAAGCCAATAAAAGACTAGCTCTCCAATATAAAACTTACTAACAGAAGAGTCTTTTAAAATGAATCATCAGTGGCTAATGAGCAAAAGGTTTGACCTCAATTATACATGGTGCAGCCAGTGTGTGCAGATGAAAGCTCATAAGTGTATTGAGGTATTCTGAAAACCAATGAAGAAGCCAAACCAAAGTGCTTTTCCTATTCTCTCAATCTACACAGAAGACTTCTGTGACTAAATGTGTATGGTGTTTTCCCCACACACTGAACAATCAGTTCTGCAGCAGACACCAATTAGGTGCCCTCTAATTCAATTCCAACACTATCCACCTGGAGACAGCATCAGATTCTACAGGTTGCGGGCTCAGTCCCCAACACTGTCCCCACTTGAGATGCCAACCTAAAGCCTCAGTTGTTTTACCTGTGATTCTGACCAACAGGCTATAAACCAGGGTTTCCATAACCAACTCCTTGAGTTCCATTAATTTGCTAGATTGTCTGATAGAACACAGGGAAACATGTTTACTGGTTTATTATATAAGACATTACAAAAGACACCAACGAAGAGAGGCATAGGGCAAGGCATGTGGGAAAGGGTTTGGAGTTCCCATATCCTTTGGGTGTGTCCACATGGAACCTCCATGTGTTCATCTATCAGGAAGCTCTCTGAATCCTGTCCTTTTGAGGTTTTATGGAGGCTTCATTACTAGACATGATTAATTAAGTAAATCATTGGCCACATGTGATCGACTTAAACTTCAGCCCTTCTCTCCTCATGATGGAGGGTGGCTTGTTGCTTGAAGTACCAATCCTCTAATTCTGCCTTGGTCTTTCAGGTGACCAGCCTACATCCTAAAGCTACCTAGGATGTTCCAGCAGCAGTCAACTCATTAGCATACAAAAAGACACTCTGAAGATTCCAAAGATTTTAGGAGTTGTATGCCAGGAAACTGGGAGGGAAGACCAAATACAATCATGCGCAGCATAACATTTCAGTCAACAAAGACCACATATAGGACAATGGTCCCATAACATTATAACACAGTATTTTTACTGTACCTTTTTTATGTTTAGATACACAAATACTTACATTGTGTTACAACTGCCTACAGAGTTCAGTACAGTAACATGCTGTATAGGTTTGTAGGCTATACCATACAGCTTAGGTGTGCAGTAGGCTATACCATCTGGGTTTGTGTAAAACTCATCTAACAACACATCTCTCAGAACATGTCCCTGTCGTTGAGCAAGACAGTATATATTTCACAATATCACAGATGTGACATTCCATTGCTGTTCCAAAGATAATCTGATCCCACTCTCAAAAAAGTCAAACCTGCCCCTCAGCTTTTCAATCACTGCTTTAGAAAAATACACTAATGAACACCAGTCTGAAAAAAATGGATCTCCTAAAGCAAAATAAAAATGTTGTACTGAGTAGACAGCAGGAATAAGCTTTTCAACATGCCCTCCAGGTTGATTTTTGCAATACTTCTCAGCTATCTCAGTATGTTAAACACAAAGTAGTGCCAATGAGGTAGTTAAAGCTACCAGTATACAGCTCATTCTGCAGAGATATGGGCTAATGTGGAAAAGATGGAAGTTCTGACTTATTATTAGAAAACCCTAGCCAAAGAAAGAATTTACAGTCGTTTCCTGGCCCACTTTGCCAAATCCAAACAGACCACTAAAAACTACTGCCTATTAAGCAGAGGCTGTGAAATGGATAAAATAATGGAGAACATATGGTCAATTTAATAAGGGCCAAGGAGTGGTGAGCAAGTCTAACATATGCTTGTATATTATACCATAAAGTCATTTTTCTACTTTTCATAATGGATGGGTAAGAGGCTGGGGAGTGGACAGGAGGAAGCAAACTAAATAAAATGTGCCAAAGACATAAGACGTCCTAAAGGACTAGCCATAAAATTGTAAACCAACTTGAAACTGTGATGGAGACAAGAAAATAACAGACAATCTTAGACTTAGTGAATTTATCATCTCTTCCTTTGCGTATCTGTGGTTTTCTATGCCAGCCCACATTTTTCCTATAGCAGTGACTCCCACATTTCCTGGGTCCTGCAGTCAGATGCAAAGGCTAGAACAGGGACAAGAACAAGGCTACACTGCTACTTTTTTTGTATCTTGCTCTCGAGGAATTCTGTATATATGGAGAGGTGTCCAACAAAATCAGTAAGAAACTCTCCATTCACTGAACACATTCTATCAATCACCAAGAATTATTCAGCTTCATCATACCACAAAAAAAAAAATAACTCAAAATGGATCACAGACCTAAATGTAAGAATTAGAATAAAACTTAGAAGAAAATATGGAATAAATCTTGACCTTGGGTTGGGCAATGGTTTCTTAGATATGACACCAAAATTATAAGCAACAAAATTAGAAATAAATTGGATTTCATCAAAATTAAAAACTGAAGTGACTGTGAGTAGGTATAGTCTTTTCTTTTTGGGGTGATGAAAATGTTCTAAAGTTCACTGCAGTGATGAATGCACAGTTCTGTGCACACACTAAAACCCGCTGAATTTTATACTTTAAATGGGTGAATTGTATGGTATATAAATCATATCTCAATTAAACCATTAAAAAAAGAATTATTCAGCCTTCCCAGTCACCATAGCCGACAGAGACACAAGTTTGTTTCCTCTTCTCTAAGACCTTTGAAAATGGCAACAACAAATATCAAAAGAAAATAAATTCATAATGATGCTGAGAAAAAGAGGAATACAGCCACAGACAAAATGAAAAAGTCACAACCCAAAACAAACCCAGAAGGCCACAGTTATCCTAACAGTAGAGCCACAAAGAAGCTGAAAATCCAGAGTTGGCAGATATCCATACCTGGAATGGGAAGCAGAACAGATGTCACCATGATTAACTGCAAATTATCTACAGAACAGCTTCTGTGTTGGCTCTCTCCCACCCTGCTCTCCTACCCAGAGGCTTGCCTGCATCAAGGCACTTAGCGTGGGTATAATCCCACCTGCCCCTGTGCCAGTCTACACAGCCCGCCCCACAGAAATGCATCCCAGTCCTACTCTGTATAAAGGGAAGACACCTGGCAGGGACACATACTCTACACATCCAGAGAAACTCTAGCCATCTATGTTTGGGAACTTGGTCTTTCACTCACGCATATGAATGGAAAAACAAACTCCAAAAAACAGTGGCTTCTAAGAGAAGGCCTGAGATTTAATAAAACAAAACTGACTCTGGATGAAGCAGAAATTCAGGAAACAGAAGGTATGCTTAGAAAAAAAAATCTAATTGATTCTTTGGGGAGGCTCAAAATAATATATCTATAGAAGACCTGACAGCGATGAAAACTGAGTGATTAGAGAATGGGAAAGAGCTTTGACATTATAAATATAAGTATCAAAATAAAAATTTTACTAGAAAGAATATGATATTTTAAAATAGGAAAGAA